GGGGCGGATCACAAGGTCAGGAGATCAAACCGCCAGGTGAAACCCCGTCTCTACTAAAAATAGAAAAAAAAAATTAGCAGGCGCAGTGAGCGGCGCCTGTAGTCCCAGCTACTCGGGAGGCTGAGGCAGGAGAATGGCGTGAACCCGGGAGGCGGAGCTTGCAGTGAGCCGAGATTGCGCCACTGCACACTCCAGCCTGGGCGACAAAGCGAGACTCCGTCTCAAAAAAAAAAAAAAAAAAGAAAATTCAGGTTCTCATCTTCTGTAATTTTCATCTCCTTGGCAAATTGTGTGTGTGTGTGGTATTTTTTTGAGACCGGAGTCTTGCTCTGTTGCCCAGGCTGGGGCTCTGGCACCCGGATCTGTTGGCTCCGCCTGATTCGCATTCTCCTGCCTCAGCCTCCGAGTAGCTGGGGCTGAGCCTCGCCGGCTACAGTTTATATTTTTAGTAGAGACAGGGTTTCACCGTGCTCAGGATGGTCTCGATCTCCTGACCTCAAGTGATCCGCGTCTCGGCCTCCCAAAGTGGGGTTTCACCGTGTTAGCCAGGATGGTCTCGATCTCCTGACCTCGTGATCCGCCCGTCTCGGCCTCCCAAAGTGCTGGGATTACAGGCTTGAGCCACCGCGCCCGGCCTATTATTATTTTTTTAATTAAAATTTTCTTTTTAGAGACAAGGTCTCTTTCACAAGCTGGCATACAGCAGCCCAATCACAGTTCACCACAGCCTTGAACTCCTGGGCTCAAGTGATCCTCCTGCCTCAGCCTCCCAAGTAGCTAGGGCTAAAGGTACCTGCCACCACATCCAACTAATTTTTAAATGTTTTATAGAGATGGGGTCTCACTATGTTGTTGTCCAGGCTGGTTTTGAACTCCTGGCCTTAAACAATCCTCCCACCATGGCCTCCCAAAGTGCTGGGATTACATCCACAAAGTTCAGTCTATAAATACCTATTAATGTTAGAAAGAGTATGTGGAATTTTTCTTTAAAATCACATTTTGGGTTGGGTGTGGCGGCTCATGGGAGGATCATTTAAGGTCAGGAGTTTGAGACCAGCCTGGCCAACATGGTGAAACCCTGTCCTTACTAAAAATTACAAAAATTAGCCAGTCATAGTGGCACATGCCTGTAATCCCAGCTACTCAGAGGAGCTGAGGCAGGAGAATCGCTTGAACCCAGGAGGTTGCAGCGAGCCGAGATCGCGCCATTGCACTCCAGCCTGGGCAACAGTAAGAGACTCCATCTGAAAAAATAAATAAATAAAAAATCAGATTTTGGCAGTCTGGTCATGCCAAAAAAAAAAAAAAAAAAAAAGGAAACATCACACATCATATTTCTTTCTATAAATAGTGATGTGCCATTTCTTAAAATTTTTCTCCCCCTTTCCATTTACTGTATTTGCATCTTCTTTAAAGGAACAGAGGGTAAATATGAAAAAACATACTTTCTAACCCAGAGGGCTGCAATGTATCATCATTCAAATCACCAATATTGGCCGGGAGTGGTGGTTCATGCCTGTAATCCCAACGCTTTGGAAGGCAAGGCAATGGATCACTTGAGTCCAGGAGCTCAAGACCAACCTGGGCAACATGATGAAATCCCATCTCTACAAAAAATAAATTAGCCGGATGTGGTGGCGTGCACCTGTAATCTCAACTAGTCAGGAAGCTAAGGTGGGAAGATCACCTGAGTCTGGGAGGCAGAGGTTGCAAAGAGCCTAGATCGCATCACTGAACTCCAGCCTGGGGGACAGAGCCAGAGCCTGTCTCAAAATAAAATGAAATAAAACTGCAATTATTACCTTGAAAGGAACGGAGGCCTGGGAATTAGGCTAGGATGCAAGATCAGTGGCACTTAATTTTGTGCTTACAATGAAAAGTTCATTTCAATAAATGTAATTCACATCCCAAAGAGCATAGAATCGCAGTAGAATAAGCAAACTGTAACACAAAGACTACCATCACATGTCACTGCTAAAGCAAGTGTGTTTGGTGGTACATGCCTAGTTAGTCCTGTCAAAATATTAAAGAAATACATATATATTGTTTTGAAACAGAGTTTCACTCTGTCGCCCAGGCTGCAGTGCAGTGGCATGACCTCGGCTCACCGCAGCCTCCGCCTCCTGCGTTCAAGTGATCCTCTCACCTCAGCCTCCTGAGCATCTGGGATTACAGGTGCCTGCCACCACGCCTGGCTAATTTTTCTTTTTTATTTTGAGACGGAGTCTCGCTCTGTCACCCAGGCTGGAGTGCAATGGCCGGATCTCAGCTCACTGCAAGCTCCGCCTCCCCAGGTTCACGCCATTCTCCTGCCTCAGCCTCCCAAGTAGCTGGGACTACAGGCACCCGAAACCTTGCCCGGCTAGTTTTTTGTATTTTTTAGTAGAGACAGGGTTTCACCGGGTTAGCCAGGATGGTCTCGATCTCCTGATCTCGTGATCCACCCGTCTCGGCCTCCCAAAGTGCTGGGATTACAGGTTTGAGCCACCATGCCTGGCCTCATTTTTTTTTTTTTTTTGAGACAGAGTCTCGCTCTGTTGCCAAGGCTGGAGTGCAGTGGCACAATCTTGGCTCACTGCAACCTCACAAGCAATTCTCTGCCTCAGCCTTCCCAGTAGCTGGGACTACAGGCACCCATCACCACGCCCAGCTAATTTTTGTATTTTTAGTAGAGACGGTTTCACCATCGTGGCCAGGCTGGTCTTGAACTCCTGACCTCGTGATCCACCCGCCTCAGCTTCCCAAAGTGCTGGGGTTAAAGGCATGAGCCACCGTACCTGGCGACGCCTGGCTAATTTTTGTATGTTTTTAATAGAGATGGGGTTCCACCATGTTGGCCAGGCTGATCTTGAACTTCTGGGTTCAAGTGATCTTATCTCCCTCAGTTTCCCAGAGGGCTGAAATTACAGGCATGAGCCACCAAGTCCAGCCTTAAAGAAATATTTTTGTTAATGTCTTCTATAAAATTAGATTCATGCTTCGTAATCATTTCAATTCTCAATATTCAGAGAACTTATTAAAATTAAAGTTCTTCCCATCATCCCATTGTGAATTATATTCTAATTAGCAAATATTTTACATATTATTCTTTTACTTTTTATGGAATAATTTTTTTTTTACATGTTACCCTGTGTCTCAATTTCCTCAGCTGAAAAATGCACTTTTTTAAAGTAAAAAATTTTTAATTATGGCAAATTACACATAATCTAAAATTTACCATGGTAATTTTTTTTTTCTTTTTTTTTTATTATCATACTTTAAGTTCTAGATATCATACTTTAAGTTCTGCATAACATGCAGGTTTGTTACATATGTATACTTGTGCCATGCTGGCGTGCTGCACCCATCAACTCGTCAGCACCCATCAACTCGTCAGCACCCATCAACTCGTCATTTACATCAGATATAACTCCCAATGCAATCCCTCCCCCCTCCCCCCCTTTTTATGGAATAATTTAAAAACAAAAAAAAAAGCAGCCCTTTTCAAAATAAACCTAGTTTGGACCCTGGATCAGGAGAGAAAAAACAAACTCAGCTATAAGTGACATTTTGTGAGTTATTCTGAATTCCAATTGAAAACAAAAACCAACAATGAAGACATTTTGGGGGCTACTGGGACTATTTGGTTAAATATTATTATTGATAGCATTTTTGTTTGGTTTGGTTTGGTTTTTCTGAGATGGAGTCTCGTTCTGTCGCCCAGGCTGGAGTGCAGTGGTACGATCTTAACTCACTACAAGCTCCGCGTCCCAGGTTCGCGCCATTCTTACCTCAGCCTCCCGAGTAGCTGGGACTACAGGTGTCTGCCACCACGCCCGGCTAATTTTTTATATTTTTAGTAGAGGCGGGGTTTCACCATGTTCACCAAGATAGTCTCGATCTCCTGACCTCATGATCCACCCGCCTCGGCCTCCCAAAGTGCCGGGATTACAGGCATGAGCCACTGCGCATGGCAGATAGCATGTTATTTATATAACTAGTGATGTTATTAAGTCAATCCTAAATTTTTCAGGGTGATGAAGATATTGTAATTACATAGAACAACGTCATTATTAGGAGAGACATGCTGAAGTACTTAGAAGCGTCATGATACCCACAGTTAAAGCAAAAGCAAATACGTCAATTAGCAATCTTGCCTCGCTGCAACCTCCGTATCCTGGGCTCAAGTGATTCTCCTGCCTCAGCCTTTCAAGTAGCTGGGATTACAGGGGCCCACCACCATGCCTAGCTAATTTTTATATTTTTAGCAGAGACGGAGTTTCACCATGTTGGCCAGGCTGGTCTTGAACTCCTGACCTCAGGTGATCCACCTGCCGGCCTCAGCCTCCCAAAGTGCTGGGATTACAGGTATAAGCCACTGTACCCAGCCTATTACTTTTAATTATTCTATAGGTATTAATATTTTCAACAAAAACTTAAGGGAAAAACTCGTTTTCTTCAAATTTTAATCAAAATTAGCATTATCAATAAACTTAGGCTAGGCACGGTGGCTCACGCCTGTAATCTCAGCACTTTAGCAGGCCAAGGTGGGAAAATCACTTGAGGTCAGGAGTTTGAGACCAGCACGGCCAACATGGCGAAACCCCATCTCTATTAAAAATACAAAAATTAGCCAGGTATGGTGGTGCATGCCTGTAGTCCCAGCTGCTGAGGAGGCTGAGGCTGAGGCGGGAGAATCGCTTGAACCCGGGAGGCAGATGCTGCAGTAAGCCGAGATGACACCACTGCACTACAGCTTAGGCGACACAGCAAGACCATGTCTCAAAATAAAAAAAATAATAATAAATAAAGTAAACTTAATGATAAAATGGGTTAACCAGGCCTCAAATTCTAATTCTCTCTTTCCGAGTAATAATGTCATAAATACAGACTTTCCCACTGAAAATATCAAAGGCATTTCCTGCTCATAAAACCATGACAGTAGTTTTGACAAAGATTAAAACAGAAAATGCTATATGTTTAGATCAAGTGGGTTTTTTCCAGTTCACTATAGGACTTACCTATCCATGTCATCATCTCCAGGTAATAAGGGTGGGAGGGGCAGAGGAGGCAATGTTGAAGTTTTCAGGTGTGGAATAGCAGCTGTTACAGATACTTGAGTCTTCACAGAAACCTGTACAGGGGGCTGAGAATTTGCCTGAGAGGACACAGCAGATGTCTTTGAGTGAGTAGAAGAGGGCAAAGTTGAAGTACTGGAAGCAGGAACCTGACTAAATGCTGGCTGAGAAGGAGGCAGAGGTGGTTGCTGCGGAAGAGCTGGTATTGGAGGCAAAGGTGGCAAAGGGGGTGTCTGAGGTGGAGGGGTAGTAGTTGGTAGAGGGGGTGGGGGAGAAGTAATTATAGGAAGAGGTGGAGGGGTCTCCTTTTCTGATGTTTCTGTCTCCTTTGGAGTAACAATCTCCTCTTTCAGTGCTATGGGTTTAGAGTCTCTTGTTCCCTGTGCTTTCAAATCTTTAACAAGATGCTTCTCAGAGTTCTCATCCAACTTTACTTTCCCTGTATCTAAAGAATTTTTTACCTCCGTGTTTAGATGTGTTACATTCACCAGATCAGTATCTGGAGCAGATTTTTCCAATTTTACACTTCTGGGTAACTTTTTAGACTCCAAACCTGAATCCTTAGCCTCTACTAAACTGTTCTCTTTTCTAGGCAAAAATACAGGTGAACCCTTGGATTCCTTTCCATCCATTTTTGCTGCAGCAGCAGCTGCTGCTCTTTCCTTCTTTTTCCTACTGAGTTCAGCTCCCAGACTGGAATTCAGTGGAAGCCTGACAGGTGAGATACTGGAATGACGACTGCGTGAACTGGATCTCTTCTTTTTACTATGAGAAGATGAATGTCTTGAATATGCAGGACTTCTACTTCTGGACTTCATGGATTTCCTACTGGAAAAATAAAAAGGCAGTTTTAAATGAATAGACTACAGTAGTATATGGAGGAAAACAGATCAACAAAACAAACTATGAAGAACTGTAACTTATCAATCTTAAAATAGATTAAGTGCCATCAAAACCAAGGAAAGTCTGAGAAACCAGCCCAATCAAGAGGCACCCCAAGGAAACAGGACTAAATGTAAGATGGTATAATGAGTAAGATCCTGGAACAGAAAATGGACATTAGGTAGACTAAGTAAATCTAAATAAAGTATGGACTCCAGTTTACAATTATGTATCAATATTGGTTCATTAACTGTAACAACTGTACCACATTAATGTAAGATGTTAACAATAAGGGAAACTGGATGCAGGGATATATGAAACTTCTTTGCACTATCTTCACAATTTTTCTGTAAGTCTTTTTTTTTTTTTTGAGACAGAGTCTCGCTCTGTCACCCAGGCTGGAGTGCAGTGGCCGGATCTCAGCTCACAGCAAGCTCCGCCTCCCGGGTTCACGCCATTCTCCTGCCTCAGCCTCCTGAGTAACTGGGACTACAGGCGCCCGCCACCTCGCCCGGCTAGTTTTTTGTATTTTTTTTTTTAGTAGAGATGGGGTTTCACCATGTTAGCCAGGATGGTCTCGATCTCCTGACCTCGTGATCCACCCGTCTCAGCCTCCCAAAGCGCTGGGATTACAGGCTTGAGCCACCGTGCCCGGCCTTCTGTAAGACTTAAACTACTCTAAAAAAAATAAAGTTCATTTAAAAAATAGATTAAACTGGCCGAGCACGGTGGCTCACACTTGTAATCCCAACACTTTGGGAGGCCGAGGCGGGTGGATCACAAGGTCAGGAGATCAAGGTCATTCTTGCTAACACAGTGATACCCCATCTCTATTAAAAAATACAAAACATTGGCCGGGCGCGGTGGCTCAAGCCTGTAATTCCAGCACTTTGGGAGGCCGAGGCAGGCGGATCACGAGGTCAGGAGATCGAAACCATCCTTGCTAACCCGGTGAAACCCCGTCTCTACTAAAAAATACAAAAAAACTAGCCGGGCGAGGTGGCGGGCGCCTGTAGTCCCAGCTACTCAGGAGGCTGAGGCAGGAGAATGGCGTGAACCCGGGAGGCGGAGCTTGCAGTGAGCTGAGATCTGGCCACTGCACTCCAGCCTGGGCGACAGAGCGAGACTCCGTCTCAAAAAAAAAAAAAAAATACAAAAAATTAGCTGGGCATGGTGGCAGGCACCTGTAGTCCCAGCTACTCAGAAGGCTGAGGCAGGAGAATGGCATGAACCTGGGAGGTGGAGCTGACAGTGAGCCTGGGTGACAGAGGGAGATTCCGCCTCAAAAAAAAAAAAAAAAGGATTAAACTAAATAATCCTACATGAAAACATATCTGAATCATATAACAATAAAATTATCTACTACTTGTTCATCTGAAAAAAGATGGGTCACTATTCTTTTCCTACAATGGAAAAGAAAGAGCCATATTCACAATGATTACTTTCAGAATTCTGATTTTAATCCTTGATAAAGTGAAAACAGGATAAAGAAGTCATGCTCGGTTGGGCGCAGTGGCTCACACCTGTAATCCCAGCACTTTGGAAGGCCAAGATGGGCGGATCACCTGAGGTTGGGAGTTTGAGACCAGCCTGACCAACCATGAGAAACTCCGTCTCTACTAAAAATACAAAATTAGCCAGGTGTGGTGGTGGGCGCCTGTAATCCCAGCTACTCGGGAGGCTGAGGCAGGAGAATTGCTTGAACCAAGGAGGCAGAGTTTGTGGTGAGCCAAGATTGCGCCATTGCACTCCAGCCTGGGCAGCAACAGCAAAATTCCGTCTCAAAAAAAGAAAAAAAGAAGTCATACTCCACAGTAAAATTCGGTTATATCCATCAGAAAGTTAAAAGCAACAAGCATGCTTCACCAAAACCTAAATTTGTTAACTAGAGAGTTATTTAATTGGCAGATCTCAGAAAAATATATTGTTCCTTGCATCCTCAGTTTATAATAAAGTTGTAAAGTTTAAAATAAAGTACTAAACAAATTCCCAACACATAAGACTTAGGATTTACAAAACAAAGTGGAGAAAATATTTTACCAAAATTTGTTAGAACTTTTCAAAAACATGAGGGCTCCTGATATCTTTATTATAAAATGATTTCTAATCGACTATGATTTAGATTAGAAACTCCTAAAGGAAGGTATTACTGCCTTCCTATGTTTGATTAACCTTCTTCTTAAGGAAGGCGTTGGAAATAAAATCTGGGAATCTATGGGGCAGATCATTTTAAGTCAAAACCCAAATCTTTTACTAAAGCCTAACCTGCTGAAGTCTCAATGTGAGATAAAACAAAAAACAAATCTGTAATCCCAGCACTTTGGGAGGCCGAGGCAGCGGATCACGAGGTCAGAAGATCAAGACCATCCTGGCTAACAGGGTGAAACCCCGTATCTACTAAAAATACAAAATTTAGCTGGGTGTGGTGGTGCGTGCTTGTATTCCCAGCTACTTGGGAGGCTGAGGGAGGAGAATCGCTTGAACCCAGGAGGCAGAGGTTGCAGTGAGCCAAGGTTGCAGTGAGCAGAGATCTCGCCACTGCACTCCAGTCTGGCAACAGAGCGAAAATCTGTCTCAAAACATAAATTAATTAATTAATTACATTAAATAAAAATATTAAAAGCACCAGGCGCTATGGCTCACGCCTGTAATCCCAACACTTTAGGAGGCCGAGGCAGGCAGATCACCTGAGTTTGGGAGTTTGAGACTAGCCTGACCAATACGGAGAAACACTGTCTCTACTAAAAATACAAAATTAGCTGGGCATGGTGGTCCATGCCTGTAACCCCAGCTACTTGGGAGGCTGAGGTAGGAGAATCGCTTGAACCTGGGAGGCAGAGGTTGTGGTGAGCTGAGATTGCGCCATTGCACTCCAGCCTGGGCAACAAGAGTGAAACTCCGTCTCAAAAAAATAAATAAAATAAAAATATTAAAAGCATAACTGGACAAAACAAAATTTTCCCAGTAGTCTAAAACAAATTGCTTCCATTCTAGATCATCAATGTCTTCCTTTATCTTTGATCAGGGAGATATGGTAAAACTGACATATAGTAAGACTGACACGAACCAAAATGTTTCAAAACAACATATATGTGTAAGGGAAACAACTTGCATAACAGCAGCGATGATTTTCTTTTACCTATACTGCTTTTTGCAAGTTTGTTTCCAACAGTTAGTTAAAATATAAAATTATTATTGGAAGCTGGGTGCCGTGGCTCATGCCTGTAATCCCAGCACTTTGGGAGGCCAACGCGGGTGGATCGCCCTTAAATCAAGAGTTTGAGACCAGCCTGACCAATATGGTGAAACCCCATCTCTACTAATACAAAAAAATTAGCCAGGCATGGTGGTGTGTGCCTGTAATCCCAGCTGCTCAGGAGGCTGAGGCAGAAGAACTGCTTGAACCCAGGAGATGGAGGTTGCAGTGAGCCAAGATCACGCCACTGCACTCCAGCCCGAGGGACAGAGAGACACACTGTCTCAAAAAATAAAAATAAAAATATTGTTGGAATCAACAGAACTAAAAAACAACACAAACATGAACATGAGAATATAAAATACTGAAAGGTACTGATATTTACCAAATATCCACTTACCCTTAAAACTAATATTCCTTCGGTACATATTTGGCTGAATCAAGAGGGTTTCTCTGCTTGAAATGTATCTAAGTAACATCTCTATCCCAGGGAAAACGTGTAAAACCCAAAACACTAATGCTAGCTAGCTACCAAGTACTATTGTTTTAGTCAGCATGACCAAATCTTCCTAAGGAAGTCTGTTACAAACCCTTCAATTTCTCACAGAAGCCTACTGTTAATAGATTTGGATGGCCATACACTTGCAGTATTTTTAGTGATACAAATGCTACATTTAAGTTCCAGGTTCACTCTTCTAGAAAAAAGCGGAGGAGTAGATACAAATAGGTAAACACAGCCAGCAATAAGCAATGCAGAATCAAGAAATGTCTTCAAAAACAAATGTATTTCCCCCCCACTCCCCGAATTAAGTTAGGTTCCACTCAACTATTAATCATTGCTAAACTGGCAAATGCAAAGACATTGCATTTCTGCCAAAGCATCTTCAGTCTTTCAAAATGAGGTTGTTTGGCCAGGTGCAGTGGCTCATGCCTATAATCCTAGCACTTTAGGAGGCCGAGGCAGGCAGATCCCAAGGTCAAGAGATCAAGACCATCCTGGCCAACATGGTGAAACCCCGTCTCGACTAAAAATACAAAAATTAGCTAGGCATGGTGGCGCGCACCTGTAGTCCCAGCTACTTGGGAGGCTGAGGCAGGAGAATCGCTTGAACCTAGGAGGCGGAAGTTGCAGTGAGCTGACATCACGCCACTGCACTCCAGCCTAGCCACAGAGTAAGACTCTGTTTCAAAAAAAATAAAATAAAATAAAATGTTGCTTATTTCATTTTGACTGTCTCCCAAGGAAGAAAACACAGAGAATATCAAAGAAGGGATCTGTATGTTCCTCTATTTTGACTCTACAATATTTTTGTACTGTTTAGAATTTCAACCAATGAAGAAAAACATATAATGCACACATACAAACATACAATGCTCTCTATAAGCCAACTAAAAGTGTTCATGTGTCTCTGGGAATATTATATAATGATTATATTTGCATGCTACGCTACCATATTGTGTCTCCAATTTTCTCTAAACTTATTTTTACCATTACTAACTAGTTTAAATTATGTGAGTAGATTCCTCAGATTTTTATTTTTTATTTTTTTTTAGATGGAGTTTCCCTCTTGTTGCCCAGGCTGGAGTGTAATTATTGCAATCGCAGCTCACCGCAACCTCTGCCTCCTGGGTTCAAGCAATTCTCCCACCTCAGCCTCCCAAGTAGCTGGGATTACAGGCATGCACCACCATGCCTGGTTAATTTTGTATTTTTAGTAGAGACGGGGTTTCTCCATATTGGTCAGGCTGGTCTTGAACTCTCGACCTCAGGTGATCCGCCCGCCTCAGCCTCTCAATGTAGTGGGATTACAGGCGTGGCTTTTTTTTTTTTTTGAGATGCAGTCTTACTCTGTCGCCCAGGCTGGAGTGCAGTGGCGTGACCTTGGCTCACTACAACCTCCGCCTCCTGGGTTCAAGCAATTCTCCTACCTCAGCCACCTGAGTAGCTGGGATTATAGGCGCATGCTACCATGCCCAGCTAATTTTTGTATTTTTAGTAGAGACAGGGTTTCACCATGTTGGTCAGGCTGGTCTCAAACTCCTGACCTCAGGTGATCTGCCCACCTTGGCCTCCCAAAGTGCTTGGGATTACAGGCATGAGCCACCACGCCCAGCCTCCTCTACTCTCTTAAGAGAACATGAGATATGCTGTTTTCTCTAAGAATTCAAAAGGAATCACTAGAAAGATGCACTTCTTACTGAAACTCCTTTTAGTGTTTTAGTCTTAGCACATTCTTCTGTATTCCCATACCCTACAACAGTTAACAATTTTTACAGCCTTAATGAACTACTCTATCAAGAAATAAATATTCTGATAATACTTTTTAGACTTCCTTAAAAAACTAAACAGTGTGGCCGGGCGCAGTGGTTCACATCTGTAATCCCAGTACTTTGGGAGGCTGAGGCGGGCGGATCACCTCAGGTCAGGAGTTCGAGACCAACCTGGCCAACATGGTGAAACCCTGTCTCTACTAAAAAAATATAAAAACTACCCAGATGTGATGGTGGGCGCCTGTAATCCCAGCTACTCTCAGGAGGCTGAGGCAGGAGAACAGCTTGAACCCGAGAGGTGGAGGTTGCAGTGAACTGAGATTGCGCCACTGAACTCCAGCCTAGGCGACAGAACAAGACTCTGTCTCAAAAACAAAGACAAAAACAAAAACAAAAAACAAACAAACAAAAAAAACTAAGCAGCTTTACAAATGCTACACTTAAGACTTAGGCATTTTACTGTATATAAATTTTACTCCTCACCCCTCCAGAAAAAATGGTAATCCAGCTAATGATAAACATGTTGAAGTGTCTAGAATTAAGTATACTGATGTCTGCAACTTACTTTGAAATAAATGAAAACAAAAGATAGATTAATGGATGGGTAGACAGATTACAAAATATATAGCTTTTTTTTTTTTGAGACGGAGTCTTACTGTCTCTGTTACCTAGACTGGAGTGCAATGGCACGATCTCAGCTCACTGCAACCTCTGCCTCCCGGGTTCAACCGATTCTCCTGCCTCAGCCTTCCGAGTAGGTGGGACTACAGGTGCACACCACCGCACCCAACTAATTTTTTATATTTTTAGTGGAGGCAGGGTTTCACCTGACCAGGGTCAGGCTGGTCTCAAACTCCCTACCTCATGATCCACCCGCCTCGGCCTCCCAAAGTGCTGGGATTACGGGTGTGAGCCACTCCTCCTAGCCCAATTTTTTTTTTTTGAGACAGGGTCTCACTCTGATGCTCAGTCTGAAGTGCAGTGGTGTGATCACAGCTCACTGCAGCCTTGATTTTCTAGGCTCAAGCGATCCTCCCACCTCAGCCTCCCAGGCAGTGGGGACCACAGATGTGCACCACCGAGACCAGCTAATTTTTTTTTTTTTTTCTGTAGAGAAGGGGGCCTCACTATGTTGCCTAGGCTGGATATAACAAATATTTATTGTAGAAACTAGGTGTTAGATATATGGGTGTTCACTACAATTCTTTCAACCTTTCTGTGCTTGAAATTTTTTTATAATAAAATGGAGGAGGAAACATTAAGAATTCCAGCCCTTGACAGCTAGGAACACTCTGCAGCTTGATGTACTCACATCATTTATGAATAATTGTAACTTTAAGTCAGCAAAAATTACACCAAAATACAAAAGCCATGTATGAGCCAGGGGTGGTGGCTCATGCCTGTAATCCCAGCACTTTTGGAGGCAGGAGGATTGCTTGAGCTCAAGAGTTCAAGACCAGCCCCATTTTACACCTGAAGCAACTCAGGCACGGAGAAATTAACTCATTTGCTAAAGGTCACAAAGCAACATTAGGATTCCACAAAGTTCTAACTAAAGCCCACCTTCGGCCGGGCGCGGTGGCTCAAGCCTGTAATCCCAGCACTTTGGGAGGCCGAGACAGGCGGATCACGAGGTCAGGAGATCGAAACCATCCTGGCTAACACAGTGAAACCCCGTCTCTACTAAAAAATACAAAAAACTAGCCGGGCGAGGTGGCGGGCGCCTGTAGTCCCAGCTACTCGGGAGGCTGAGGCAGGAGAATGGCGTAAACCCGGGAGGCGGAGCTTGCAGTGAGCTGAGATCCGGCCACTGCACTCCAGCCTGGGCGACAGAGTGAGACTCCGTCTCAAAAAAAAAAAAAAAAAGCCCACCTTCTGTTTTCGTGAACAGAGGTGAGGCCACAAAGGAGTCAAAATATAAGGAAGACATTATTACCATGTGTTTTAGAGAAAGATTTTGAAAATTGTCAGCGGTCACAAGGTAGGTCAGTGATGATGCTGTAAAGAAAACCAAATTGTCCTTGGAACCAATTTCTGCTAGGTTATACCATCAAAAGGGTAACAGATTAATCAGTTGAATTTCCACTAAAACATCAGTTAAAAGACAGGAATCTTTTGTAAATTATTAAAACAGTGCCAAGTAGGAAATGAATATATGTACAGATTTGGGGACTCAGTGGACAACACAAATAGGATAACCTAGGCAAGTAACTTTAATACAAATGAAACTTTGTAATTTCTTAAGTCTTCAACCAGGTCCCATAGGGTCTAAAGCACTAATACCAATATGATTTTTAAAAATTTTAAACTAAGCAACAGAAACAGCTAGACATGCTCTGGGAACTAGTATCAACTCCATCCACTCACTAAGCAGAAGCCTTTGACATTTCTCACTTACAAGCTTACAACTGAAGACCCCACCACTGGAAGTACCTACCTTTAGTGGTTTGAGGTCTATGTACTCTTCACTTTTCGTTCTGGGTTAAGGGGAGACAGATTGACACACTGCAACGACTAGCCAACAGCAAAGTGTTCTAATCAATGATGAACACTGCGGGTTTCCACACAATGTTACCACGCTGAATCCCAATTCCTCGCAACCCACCCTAAATGAGGAAGGACTGTTAGGCAAATAGCTCACCTGGGGAGTGGACTCCGACTCAGGGACCGCTTGCTCAGGAAAGGGCTGCTGGACCGCCTTCGACCATAGGGACTGGGCGATCGCCCGCTGTAAGAGCCGCTCCTTTCGTAGCTGGACGACCGTCTCCTGCTATAGGGACTGACAGACCTCTGTCGCCTACTGTACGGGCTCGGTGACCGGGTGCTTGACTGGTAGGCCGAAGGCTCTTTGTAAGGGGGGCTGATCGACTGCCTTCTCGAGGTACTTCCAGGACTTTTCTTGTAGGAGTCATAATTGCTCGAGGTATGAGATCTTGGGGGACTAAGGTCATAATCTTGGCCATAAGAAGCTCCCGAGGGGCTATCATCTTGTTTGGAGCTGTCAGACCACTTCCTGTGGGGGCTCCTGGATCTCCGTTTGGGGCTGTCCACTGTTTTGTAACTTTTGGGTGTTTCCCTTTTTCGATGACTTTTACTCCGGTCTTTGTGCCCAGACTTCAGCTCCCGTTCTTTCCTAGTCTTCTCCTTGTGGAGCTTGGATGACCTGGATTCCTTGCTGCTGCTTTTGGCTACCTGCGCCTTCCCATAGTCATCAGTCTCCTCATTCGAACGCTTTGAACTTCCCGATATCCGGTCCTTCATCGATCCCGACTTGCTGGAGACTTCCTGGCTTTTTTCTTTTTCGGTCTGTTTAGCTTTTAGTAAGTCCCGGGAACGCCTGTGCTGGTGGTGACGATGTTTGTGCAGGCGGTCGCTCCGATCTGATCCACGACGTTCGTCGTTCTCCCTTCTGTCTAGTTTGAAGGCCATGTCATCGGAGAAGGTGTCGGAATCAGAGCTGATATCATCATACTCCACCAAAGGTTTGATAACCGTGCCCAGGGATGCTGCTTCGGGGGTCACCAACCCCATGTCTTTGGAGTGTTTGGACTTATGCCGCTTGTGCTTCGACACCAAGCGGTGACGCTCTCTGCTGTTAGAGCTGCCGCCTCCCGATGACGGCTGCAAAGTTCCAGAAGCTCCTCCACTCCCGTCCTTCTTGCCCCCATGTCTCTCTGAATTGGGCATTCCCTTTCCCCTGACCTGAAGAAGGGAAAAAAGTTCCCCAGCACTCCAAAAAGCAGCCCCCACCCACCCCCCCAACCCCAACTCCACGCCCACCAAAGCGCCCCAGGAAGGGGGTGGGGAGGGCAGGGACCAGAGCCCAGACTCCTCCTCCCTCCCGACGCCTCAGCACCCTCCTACATGAGGTGGGGGGTGAAGGAGCGAGGGAAGAAATGAGAGTTCCTCGGCAGTGGAGTTGCGAGACAACGGGGAGCTGCTCAAGTCTGTTTCCTTTTCTCCCCGCGCCGAGCCAGTCCTCAGGCCCGGGCGCCAGGGAGGTCGAGGAAGTGAGAAGCCGACGGCCCGGGGCTGTGGGGCCGACTCCGGCTCTGGGGCCCTGCGAGGACTACGCGGGCCCTTCCCCTACCCGGTAGCCCGGCTAAGGGCGGCTTCCTGTCGCCGGGATCCCGCGGCCTAGGTGCCTCACGCCCCCTTTGTCCCTCGCTCCTGAGGGAGCCCCTTTTCTTGCCTCCGTTTCACCTCCACACCACACACACACTCTCCCTCACACAGACTCAGTCACACACTAGATTAAACCGAAACGGCACTTAGAGGAGGGGGGAGGGGCAATCCCAGAAATCGTCGCGAAAGTCCAGTAGCCTCTCGCGATGTTTCATGCTTTGCTTTCACCTCATTGCGCTGCTTCATCAAACAACGCGAGAACAGGTCCCAAACTAGAAACGCGTTTCACCTGACTCTCGCGATGAGCTCTCTCTCCCCATTTGAACAAAGCTTTATTGAAACGGAACAAACCGAGTTTTTTTTTTTAACCAAAACTTTATCGATAACTGATTAAACAAACACTCCCAGGCTCCGTGACAAACTAATTTTAACTTCCTTTTTAACAAATCTTTTAACTACCAGGATGACTTTGTTTTTTGTTTTCTTTTGAGACGGAGTCTCTCTCTGTCGCCCAGCCTGGAGTGTTAGTGGCGCGATCTCGGCTCACTGCAACCTCCACCTCCCAGGTTCAAGCGATTCTCCTGCCTCAGCCTCCCAAGTAGCTGGGATTACAGGAGCCCGCCACCATGCCCGGCTAACTTTTGTGTTTTTAGTAGAGACAGGGTTTCACCATGTTGGCCAGGCTGGTCTCGACCTCCTGACCTCAAGTGATCTTCCCGCCTCGGCCTTCCAAAGTACTAGGATTACAGGCGTGAACCGCCGCGCCCGGGCGTTTTTGTTTGTTTGTTTGAAACAAGGTCTCTCTGTGTTGCCCAGACTGGAGTGCAGTGGCGCGATCTTGGCTCACTGCAGCCTCCACCTCCGGGGCTCAAGCAATCCTCCCACCTCAGCCTGCCGAGTACTTGGAACTATAGAGTCGCGCCACCACGCCGTGCTAATTTGTTTCTACTTTTCGTAGTGATGGGGTTTCGCCATGTTGCCCAGGCTAGTCTCGAACTCCTAGACTCAAGCGATCCTTGGTCTTGAACTCCTAGACTGAAACAATCTGCCCACCTGGTCCTCCCAAAGTGCTGGGATTACAGGCTTGAGCCACTGCACCCGGCTGAGATTATTTTTTACAGCGCAAAAGACAAATGTGGGGACATTTCAACCCAAGTCCCTGAGTGTTTTAACAGTGCTTCCAACATATAGGGTGTGTGCTACGTGCCAAGCATTTTACATACATTATCTCTAATTTTCACAAGTATCCTGCAAAACACGAGATTTTCATCCCCATTTTATAGAAAAGGAATCCCAGCCTCAGGGAAGTTGAATCATTTAGTCCAACAAGTGCCACAGTTAACATTCAAATTCATGTCTTTTTGAGAATAAAGCACAAGCTCTTCTATCCTATGGCGCTATCTCCTCACCAATCTTTGCTTCAAATCTCAGAACCTAAAAGCTCATCCCATCTTGAGATCCTCCCATGGCTGTTATTGGATAATTTAGCCTTTCATTCTCATATGAAAGATTATAATATGATTATAATATGAACAAGAAAAGCATAGTATTAATTAACAAGAAAATAATATTCTTACACTGGCCCCTTATTTATTACTTTTAAAAATTTTACGTACCTTAAGTCATTCCATCTTCACAACAGTCCTCTGAAATAGGTCGTGTAAGTGAGAAAACTAAGGCATGGAGAAGTGAAGGGGCTTGTCCAAAACTGAGAAGTTCAGTTGGTAAATTCAGGACCAGAAAACATTCTGAATTAAGGTAAACTCCATTCTCAAAAATCACTCTCTTGGCCGGGCGAGGTGGCTCAAGCCTGTAATCCCAGCACTTTGGGAGGCCGAGATGGGCGGATCACGAGGTTAGGAAATCGAGACCATCCTGGCTAACACGGTGAAACCCCGTCTCTACTAAAAAAAAAAAAAAAAAAACCTGGCTGGGCGTGGTGGTGGCCGCCTGTAGTCCCAGCTACTCGGGAGGCTGAGGCAGGAGAATGGCGTAAACCCAGGAGGCGGAGCTTGCAGTGAGCTGAGATCCGGCCACTGCACTCCAGCCTGGGCGACAGGGCGAGACTCCGTCTCAAAAAAAAAAAAAAAATCACTCTCTTTAAATGTTCTTGTTCCTTTTGCTCACAGGGCTATCCAAAACATTTTTTTAAAAAAACCTAATTGTGTGTGTGTGTGTGTGTGTGTGTGTGTGTGTGTGAAGGGTCTCGCTCTGTCACCCAGGCTGGAGTGCAGAGGCACAATCATAACTCACTGTAGCCTTCACCTCATGGGCTCAGGTGATCCTCCCACCTCAGCCTCCTGAGTAGCTGAGACTACAGGTGCAGGCCACCAGCCCAGTTAATTTTAATTTTAATTTTTTTGTAGAGATGGAGGGCTTGCTATGTTGCCCAATCTGACCTCAGACGCCTGGGCTCAAGCAATTCATCCACTTTGGCCCCCAAAGTGTTAGGATTGGCCCCCAAAGTGTTAGGATTACAGGCGTGAGCCACCATGCCCTAAATGATTGAGTCCATAAATACTGGCTCTAAAATAAAAAGATCAGGCTGGGCACAGTGGCTCACTCCTGTAATCCCAGCACTTTGGGAGGCCAAGGCCAGCAGATTACAAGGTCAAGAGATGGAGACCATCCTGGCCAACATGGTGAAACCCTGTCTCTACTAAAAACACAAAAATTAACTGGGCTTGGTGGTGCACGCCTGTAGTCCCAGCTACTCGTGCGACTGAGGCAGGAGAATTGCTTGAACCCAGGAGGCAGAGGTTGCAGCAAGCCGAGCCATTGCACTCCAGCCTGGCAACAGAGCAAAACTCCAGCTCAAAATAAATAAATAAATAATAATAAAAATTAAAAAAATAAAAAGACCAAGTTTTCCGTGACAACTTTTTGATCTTCTATGGAAGTAAAAATGCTATCAAGAAAAAAAAGTGGCTGGGAGCGGTGGCTCATGCCTGTAATCCCAGCACTTTGGGAGGCCAAGAGGGGAGGATCATTTGAGGTCAGGAGTTTAAGGCCAGACTGGCCAATGCAGTGAAACCCTGTCTCTACTAAAAATATAAAAATGGGCCGGGTGCGCTGGCTCACTCCTGTAATCCCAGCACTTTGGGAGGCGGAGGCGGGAAGATCACGAGGTCAGGAGATTGAGGCCATCCTGGTTAACACGGTGAAACCCCGTCTCTACTAAAAATACAAAAAAATGGCCGGGCGTGGTGGCTCAAGCCTGTAATCCCAGCACTTTGGGAGGCCGAGACAGGCGGATCACGCGGATCACGAGGTCACAAGATCAAGACCATCCTGGCTAACATGGTGAAACCCCGTCTCTACTTAAAAATACAAAAAAACTAGCCGGGCGAGGTGGCGGGCGCCTGTAGTCCCAGCTACCCGGGAGGCTGAGGCAGGAGAATGGCGTGAACCCGGGAGGCGGAGCTTGCAGTGAGCTGAGATCTGGCCCCTGCACTGCAGCCTGGGCGACAGAGCGAGACTCCGTCTCAAAAAACAAGGAAAAAAAACAAAAAAAAATTAGCCAGGCGTGGTATCGGGTGCCTGTAGTCCCAGTCACTCAGGAGGCTGAGGCAGGAGAATGGCGGGAACCCAGGAGGTGGAGCTTGCAGTGAGCAGAGACCGCCCCACTGCACTCCAGCCTGGGCAACAGAGCGAGACTCACCTCGAAAGAAAAAAAAAAAAAAAAAACAATTAGAGGCCAAGCACGGTAGCTAATGAATGTAATCCCAGCACTTTGGGAAGCCAAAGTGGGCGGATAACTTGAGGTCAGGTGTTCGAGACCAGCCTGGCCAACATAGTGAAATCCTGTCTCTACTAAAAATACAAAAATTAGCCAGGCGTGGTGGTGCTTGCCTGTAATCACAGATAGTCAAGAGGCTGAGACAGGAGACTCGCTTGAACCCAGAATGCATAAGTTGCCATGAACCAAGATCATGCCACTGCGTTCCAGCCTGGGTGACAGAGTAAGACTCTTTGTTCCAAAAAAAAAAAAAAATATATATATATATATATATATATATGTACAAGAAAAAAAAATTAGCCGGTCATGGTGGCATGCACCTGTAATTCCAGCTACTCAGGAGGCTGAGGCATGAGAATCACTAGAACCTGGGAGGCAGAGGTTGCAGTGAACTAAGTGAACTAAGATTGCGCCATTGCATTCCAACCTGGGCGACAGAGTGAGAATCAGTCTAAAAAAAAAAAAAAAAAAGTGGCTAACAAAAAGAAAAAAGGGCTGAGTGTGGTGGCTGACACTTATAAAACCAACAATTTGGGAGGCCAACATGGGAGGATTTCGTGAACCCAGAAATTGGAGACCAGTCTGGGCAACATGTTGAGACCTCTATCTCTCCAAAAAAACACAAGAAATGACAGGCCAGGTTCGGTGGCTCATGCTTGTAATCCCAGCAATTTGGGAGACTGAGGCAGGCAAATTGCCTGAGTTCAGGAGTTCGAGACCAACCTGGGCAACACGGTAAAACCCCATTTCTACTAAAATACAAAAGAAATTAGCCGGGCGTGGCAGTGTGCGCCTGTATTCCCAGCTACTCAGGAGGCTAATGCGGGAGAATTGCTTGAACCCGGGAGGCAGAGGTTGCAGTAAGCCAAGATTACACCACTGTACTCCAGCCTGGGCAACAGAGCGAGACTCTATCCCTACAAAAAATAAACAAACAAAAGCAATAAATTAACCAGGCATAGTAGTGCTTGCCTGTAGTCCTACCTACTCTGAGGCTGAGACGGGAGGATCACTTGAGCCCAGGAGGTCAAGGCTGCAATGAGCCATGATCATGCCACTGCACTCCAGCCTGGTTAATAGAACAAGAAACTGCCTCAAAAAAGAAAAGAAAAAAGAAAAACACTGGCCGAGCATGGAGGCTGAAGCCTATAATCCCAGTACTTCGGGAGGCCGAGGCAGGCAGATCACCTGAGGTCAGGAGTTCAAGACCAGCCGGACCAACATGGAGAAACCCCGTCTCTACTAAAAATACAAAAATTAGCCCAGTGTGGTGGCGCATGCCTGTAATCCCAGCTACTCGCGAGGCTGAGGCAGGAGAATTACTTGAACGTGGGAGGTGGAAGTTGCGGTGAGCTGAGATGGTGCCATTGCACTCAGCCTGGGCAACAAGAGCGAAACTGTCTCAAAAAAAAAAAAAGGAAAGAAAGAAAA